AGAGCTCCCCTTCAGCAGCTCCTGGAGTGAATTGTCATTCTCAACATGCAAGCCACCACCTCAATTTGAATCTTGTATAATATTATCTCATAAGGGACAAGCATATATATCCTTCGAGGTTTATTTATCATCAACCATAACACTTAATGTCCTATCCATTTTATTCATCATAGACTTTTACACGTTCAAGCTGTGCATGCATGCTATTTACTACTGGTAACTTCATGCTCCATATGAAAAGTCTTTTCTTTGGCTGTAAACAGTTTTAACTATTTTATTTTTGCCTGTGGCCAAGGATGAATATAATGGAATGTCATTGACTGAATATTTGCATTGCACACATTGTTTTAATACAGCTTCATTTCTTTTTCAGTATCTGAGAAATAGAGATGTCATAGATCCCGTAACAGTTATGCTACTCTCCAAGGTTCCATTTATACAGCAAAATGAAGATGGAAGTATTGGTCACAGAAGCAACAAACAGAAAGTAGAAGCTGCCACACCGGCTAGTAAATTAAGTATCTAAGCCCCCAGAGACATTCTCAGTCTTCACTCATTACTGTGCCATTATTACACTCACCTACATTAGCTTTATCTGTGTAAGCATGATAGGTGTTTTGGTTGTGGTTTCTGTTTTGTTTGCAAAAATTACACTTTATTTCTCAAGGTTTGACTTTGATCTAAAGGAAGAAAAAAAGAGACTGGGACAAAGGCCATCACTCTGCTATTGAAGTTATTTTAACCCTCTCAGAATGGCTGGTTGGAGTATAAGGACACAAATAGGGTCACTAAGTATTTTGAGACCTGGCAGAATTCCCTACAGGAAGTGTGCCCTGCCCACACAGTTTAATTTCCAATTATAGCACAGTGATCTGCAGAATGTTGCTGTAAACTGTTAAACTCTTCCCACCTCTTGCCACTTCAGGGGAATATGTGATGCTTGCACTAGTTCGTAGCTCATAAATGAAAGCCTGAGCAGATGGCAAGAGCATCACCAAGGTGATTTGCACTTTTAGAGTATGTAGCATTCTGTGTTTACTATTATATAAGTAATCCAGAAAAGCACAAAGATTTTGCTTCTTCCTTCAACAATCCTCTTTCAAAAGAAGAGAAAGTATGTGGGTTACTCTCATAGGGTGCAGATCTCAAGGTTCAAATATTTAATTTTTAGTAGTCACCCACCAAACTTTGCATTAATTTAAGGCTTTCAGTTTTAGATAACTTATTTTCACTATTTAGTCACATATAGGAAATGTTGATCAGTTTAAGGCTATAATTCTAGCAGGCCACATTCTGCTACTGAATTATAGCAAATTTCCCATTGGTGGTTAACAAATAAATCATTTTTGTCTTATATCCAGAAGAGACGATATTCTTTTCAAAGCCAATTAAAATAACTAACAAACTCAGTCTGTTCACTTATCTTAAATGTCATTATTTTCTATACAGTTTTCTAGTCACAGTCTACAGGTTTGTGGTGCTGAAAGAAGAAATAATAGGTAAACAGGCAAGAATGTTTTTCAGATAGTTTATTGCATGAACTTGCAGTAGAGAATTGTTTTTATGGAGAATCATAAATAAAGCCTTTACAGTAATGCTGACTAAAAGCAATTTACTCATTTGAAGCTTATGAACATAAAACTTCTGTTAAACAAAAAGCCAGGCTCAAGTTCAACAGGATTTACTTTGGAGAGTAAATAGATGTATTTTCTAATGGGAAGGGCTTGCAAGGGGACCTGACTGAGCCAAAAAAGTATTTTATGACAACGTACTTAACCTACCTGTATCTCAAGTTTCCCAGGAAGATAAGGAGGATAATAGCATTTCTATCCTTACACTGGATTGTGAAGCTTAATTCACAGTCTTATCCAAAGCCATTAAAGCCAATAGAAATCTCTCATTGACTTTAAAGAGCTTTTGTTCAGGCCCTTTACAAGTCAGGTGAAAGACTGCCACTGACTTCAAACCCCAGGCTTTTAAAGTTCCTTCATATCCTCATTTTGGAGGCCTCTGGAGACACAGATATGTAGCAGTAAGAGCATTACATTCACCAAACAAATCCCCATTAAATAAAATGAGTTCTATGCCTTTCCTTTTCTTTTTCCTTCCTTTTCTTTTTCCTTCCTTTTCTTTTTCCTTCCTTTCCTTTTTCCTCCCCTCCCCTCTCCTCCCCTCCCCTCCCTTCTCCTTATTCCAAGAGTGCTATCCACTGCATATATCTACATCCAGCAGTACCTACTGGTTACTGTATGCACCTGTTTACACCTGTTTCTTAGGGACCCTTACCTATTGGTTGCATAACTGTGTTAAAATGCCACTGCTGGCTACCAGCTCTACACCTTGGATTTGGATGAAGTACAATTTTAATGACTTTTCCCTTCAATTAGCCACAGTATCAGATTGAGATTATCAATTGTTACTGTGTTGGCACTATGCTAGCTGTGTAAGCAAAGACAATATCTGACCTGGTATAAAGCTTCTCACTACCAAGATAATCACTTAAAATTTTCAAGATATTTGAAGCAGCAGAGGAGTTCAACAGAAGGTCAGTACTTTACATACTGTGGCTTCTACATTTCTGATCTAAGAAAATAGGTCCTATAATGTTGAACTACAGCCTCACAGGAAAAAGGCTCCAAAATGTCATCATTACAAGAACTGAAAAGAAGAATGTGTAACTTTTAATGGGAGCACCATGATTGTGTAAACTATGCATTCTTATACTTCTGTAGCATTTAAACAATGTTAAGCAAGTGTCATAAAAGCTTGACTTCATTCTATAAGAATTTGAAAACAGTAAGAGTAAACTGAACAGGAATCACTATTCTAGTTCAGATAATTGAAATAAATTGAAAAATTTTTAATCTCTAAATAATAGTTAGAAGTTCTTTGAATATTTATTGGGTGTTATTCAAAACAGCCATTTTCAGCATTATGAGTGGTTGACATGACATATTTCCAAGCCTGAAACACAGCAGTATCAGAGCAATAGTACTATATAACATCTGCCATTCTGTACTGCACAAAGAAACTTTTTTTTTCAAAGACAATGTACAATGATCACAATTATTAATATTTTGTAATTAATATTTAAATCATTAATAGAGTCAACATGTCTAGTTCAGATGTCCTGTTATTTTTGTAACGTCAGTTACAGTATAAATTTTATACCACTAATACTAAATCTTTGCAAATCTTACTTTACACATTTTAATTATATTTACACACATCATGAAAATGTCTATCTACACCTTTACTTTCCAATTTTAGTCCTATAAAAATAATGCAATAATAAGAAGTAATAGAATTCATTTTATAACATTTTGGAAAGCTAACTAAAGATAATACAATCTGCCAAGATTTTACATTTCAGAAAACCTTCAGAATCTCTAAAGGTGCATCTAATTTAGATCTTGAATGATCTCATGGTTGTTGATTTATCAACTTAACCCATTAGGCCACCACGTATGTTGCTATTCTGCAAGAGAAAAAATATTTCTAACATCTGTTCACAAGCTGTTTTTTCATAATTTCCTTCTATGCCCATTTAAGTCATTAAGCACATCTATCTACAAAACCTTACTGTCAAACTATCTACACTATAGATGGATTTCAAGCCTACAAGAAATCTAAAAAATTGTAGACATACAATATAACCAACAATACACTATTTTTACTGAAAATTTTGATCCTAAAATATATATATACGTTTTTTGCAAATTGGGACTCAACGCACATTGCATTTAACCTTATTTCTCAAGATAACATGTTTCAACAAATTGAGAACAAAGGTTTGTGTCTCATCATTTTGGAGTTCCTTATGACAGCTTCAGTCTTATGAGAGGAGAGGGTTTAAAATTAAGAAGAGTATACTTTCTGAATGGCTTGAGGAGAGTGATTTTAATGCTTTTATTCACTTGTGCAAGTGCTCTCAAGTCTACTGCAGAAAGAATAGAAAGTGTACCAGTAAACTAAAACCTAACGTATGCAATGTTAAGAACCTGGCATGAAGCATGCCTTATAAGTACACTCTTCATTTTTTCCTACAGCAGAAAATTTTCAAAATTTTGTTCCTCCCAAGCTTGCTTCCAGCCCTGTGATCTTTGCTGTCATTAATTCGGCTAACATCAGTGGGGTAACTTCTGCACAAAAAGGCTATGAAAGGTGAAATAAATCTAGTCTTACCAATTTCCCTGTGAAAGACACTGGCTTTTTTATAATATTAAAAGAGAATTCTCTCTTAAACATGTCAAAAAGACACATCTGGAGAAAGGATTTGCATTTTCACAACAGAATGCCCAGACTATGTGACTATCATCTGCATGCAAGGTTACATTAAAATAAGAAATGGAATCAACACAAAGCGTAATAAAACCAAAACCAAAATGAAAGCAGAGCGCAGAGAAAAACATTTACCATCTTCCTGATGAACAGAGATACATTGTTACCAGTCAAGAAACAGATATTTCAGTTTAAATTTTGACATAATTAAATAAGAAAATGTCCCTATATAAAGAATATTTATTTCGGGGAAAAAATTGAAATATCCCTACTTTCATCGACAGACCAATTAACAGTTAACTCTTCCTAAGCACAGTTATGATTTCCTAATTCTTCATCCCAGCACTGGCACCAAAACAAGATGAAGAGCCAGTCCAAACTGCATCAGCTGCTGGCAACACCCCCAGGGAGCATCTGTCAGCTACAGGGAGCTGGCTCACCCTCTGGCTACTCCTCCACTACATCCCTACACGTTTAAAATCTCTACTGCTACTTCTTCCACACAGGGAATTCAAAAGAGTCTTTACTTCTTTTATAAGAGTTAAGAGCAAACTCAATCTCAGCCAACCAAGATATTTTATGATGTTTAATAGTTCTCACAACAATCGTAAGAATGCAATCACCTGGAATTCACACATGCTGTGCTGCACAAATTACTCAAGAGACAGGCACTGCTTTTCAGTTGCAAAGCTTAAATGATACACAGGAAATTGACTTACCGGGCCAAACGCATTGCTATCAAAGCTGTGTCCATGGTGATCACCTTCCACCCAAATATGCCCATGTGGAACTTTCACGTACTTCTTTTTGTATCCAATAGTTCTAAAAAGAAAATTAAAAAATTATGATTGATGAAAAAAAAAAGCCAAAACATTCTGTTATGAAAATTCACACATATTACTTTGGAATTTGGCCTAGCACACCATCCAACACTTTCTTAAAAAGAGAAAAATGCATTGAAGTCCTTTGGACATGCAAGAATGCTCTTCACAAGTGAAAATACATAACGATTGTGCATGAGTTAGTTGCACCATCCGGACTTGTTTACTACATTGTTTTGGTAGAAATCACATCATAACAGAGAATAAAATACTTTTCAGATATAATTAAGTAGTTCTTATTTTCATCTCTGTAGTAACGGTTCTTTGAAACACAAGACTTAATGTTAGGTAAACACTAGTAGACATATGTTGTAACCACACAAAGATATTGCATCAAGAGTGATTTCCTTTCAGGTCAGCATTACGTTCTCATCAAAACTAACCTGGTATATCTAACCAGAGCTCAGACTCACAGCTTGGATTCCAGCAATGCTTATGTCTCGGGGTAGGGATGAGTTAAACAGGAAATGTCTAGGAGAAAGCCAACTGCCGCCAAAAAATGACATTGATGATTCAAAGTGTTCTCCATACGCCTCAGCATGCTCTGATATTACAAAAATGACATGCTATAGAGGAGTCCTAAAAGCTGAGGTTTGGAGTATGCAAAATGCCTGTACTTAGTTCTTGAGTAGCTGTCATTTTCACAATTACTGTCTGCCTTCTACTATACACTTTCGTTTTCTTTCAGATAGGATCTGTTATTCTGTAAACATTCATTCAGGGAGCTAATTTAACAAGGACTCTGAATTACTATTATGATGAAGCATTTACACACTGGACTATGGATAACTTTTATCTTGTACTGGGTTAACTACATCTGTCCACAGGCAGAAACAGTCTTTTGATCTAGTTTGTTGCCTCCAGCTGCTCACCACATTTCAGTGTCAGCCCCCAAAGCAGACACGAGTGTGCTCTAAAACTGAAGAATGCAAGCTGAAGAGAGAGAATCACTGTCACCAGGAAATTCAGCTGAACTGTGCAACAGTGCTGATCAGGGCTGGTCCCCCACTATTTCTGGGGGGAGGTTCTTTTTTGCGCATGTGTCTGTGAGGATGTTATGGGGACAAGCTAATTAATAGCCTGATGATCATGAAATACTCAATGAACAAGGAATCCTCAAAGATTGATTAAATAAAAATAATAATTTACTTTACAAATCACAAAATCCACCCGCTGCTTTTTCAAACAGATCCAGAAGAAGCTGAAAAGATGAGGTTGCCAGAACTAAACTCTAATGGAAGTTCTACCTGGGCTTTCATTAGCAGTAGACAAAATAGTAGCCTATTTGCAGAAGAAGAGACTCTAATTTTCGTCTTTCTTCAGGAATTTCTTAAACACAAAAAGTAGGTTTGTAATAATTCAATTGCTACTATAAAAAACATATTTATTACAATGCAACCCTTTCTGGTTTTGTTATTTCTTTATGACATTTTACAGTCTAGACAAAAAACGCATTTGTTTTATGATTTCATAATGCTTTCTCTCACTAATAATTTATTTTATCATGTGCCATATGAGAACGTATTTTAGTGAAAGTGTGTTTTAAGATACAGGTTCAGAAAAGTTGGCCATTAGTTCTGTTCTGTCTGATTAGACATTCTGAAGACTACTAAATTAATACATTCCAGCAGTGATAAAGTCAAACAATAGCTGAAAAATATTCAATTTTCTCTTCCCTTCTTGAATATAGAACAGTAGATTGTGATAAAGTTTTGTACCTTCACAGATTCCATGTACAAAATTGAATTTCTCTGAGAAAGGTGAAAGGAATTTGAAAGTTAATTCTGCTGACATGTTTACCTCACAAATGTCAAGAAAATAATATGGCAAATGTCAGTCAGTGACTCCTTTTCAGATCACACACAGTCTCACACTCCCAAATAACCTCCTCCTCTATTATGATCAGGAAATCATTAGCAGGGAGAGGAAAATAAATTAATAAAACTTTTGTAATAAGTATTTGGAAACAAAATTTGAAAAAAAATCAGTTTGCACAGATAGATTTTGTATTCACAGAGAGCCTGCGAAAACAGAAGGTTCCAACTCCCTGCTATAGGCAGGGACACTTCCCCTTAGACCAGGTTGTTCAAAGCCTCATCCAGTCTGGTCTTGAATGTTTCTAAGCAGTGGCATCCACAACCTCACTGGGCAACCTGTTCCAGTATCTCACCACCCTCACAGTAAATTATTTCTTCCTAATACCTAGTCTAAACCTACCCAATTTAAAACAATTTCCCCTTGTCTTGTCACTACGTGCCCTTATAAAAAGTCCTTCCCCAGCTTGTCTGTAGGCCCCCTTCAGGGCCCCAGTTCTCTCAGCCTGTCCTTGTAGGGAAGGGCTCCAACGCTCTGATGGTGGATGAAAAACTCAACATGAACCAGCAGTGTGCTCTTAAAGCTCAGAAAGCAAATGGTATCCCGGGTGCCTTTGTGAGGCCCCATCTGGAGTACTGTGTCCAGGTCTGGGGCCCCAAGTACTATAAAGCCAGAGAGCTGTTGGAGAGGGTTCAGAGGAGGGCCACAAGGATGATCAGAGGGCTGGAGCACCTCCCCTAGGAAGATTTGCTGAGGGAGCTGGGCTTGTTCAGCCTGGAGAAGAGAAGGCTGTGGGATGACCTCATTGCAGCCTTTCAGTACCTAAAGGAAGTCTACAGACAGGAGGGGAATCAACTCTTTGAAAGGGTAGATAACAGCAGGACAAGGGGAAATGGTTTTAAGTTGAGGGAGGAAAGATTTAGGTTGGATGTCAGGGGCAAGTTCTTTACAGAGAGTGGTGAGGTGCTGGAACAGGCTGCCCAGAGAGGCTGTGGATGCCCCATCCCTTCAGGTATTCAAGGCCAGGTTGGATGGGCCCTGGGCAGCGTAGTCTAGTATTAGATATGGAGGTTGGTGGCCCTGCATGCAGCAGGGGGGTTGAAGCTTGATGATCCTTGAGGTCCCTTCCAACCCAAGTCATTCTATGATTCTATGATCATCTTCATGGCTCCTCTGGACCTGCTCCAACAGCTCGATCTCCTTCTTGTGTTGAGGGCCCCAGAACTGGATGCACTACTCCAGGTGAGGGTCTCATGAGAGCAGAGTAGAGGAGCAGAATCACCTTCCTCAACCTGCTGGTCATGCTTCACTTGATGCACCTCAGGATATGGTTGGCCTTGTGGAGCTACAAGTGCACACTGCTGGCTCAAGTCAACTGTTAATTGACACCCTTAAATCTTTCTCCTCAGGGCTACGATTCTATGAAGAAGTTTCAGCTTAAAAAAAAAATAATTAAAGTTGTTCATGCTAATAAATGCATTAAGGGAATAAGGAAGAGGAAGAAACAGAAAAGAAACAGAAGCAAGAGTTTTAATTATGTGTTTTAGTAGATAGGACTGCATGGATAAATTCCTCTGTAACCACAGCACGTAAATATAAAACCTTTTGTAATTTAATGTATGGAGTATATAAATCATCAGATTTTGCTTACATAATTCATTCAAAATGTTAGTGTAGTAATTGCATAAGGCAGTTGCCTAGGGACTCTGAGGCCTCTGCAGCAATATTGCTACAAAATGTGTCCTTTGAAAGGCAGGCTGAAATTCAGAAACAGAGTTTTATTTGAGCTTTTGCTGCATGAATTAGTAACAAACTACAGCAATAAGCTAATGTTACAGTAAATTGCATCATCCATTACTTAATAATTTTCAAGATAATTTCACTGTTGAATTGTTCTAAAACAGATAAATCATTCATGCAAGCCAACCAGGCTATAGACTTCAGAAACCCATATTCTGCCAATGACAGTAAGTTGCTTTTAAATATTTCTGCAAATAATACGTTGACTTTTTCTAAAAAGAAAAAGTTATAGTTTTCTCTCCTATGAAAATAGTCTAAATTGCTTCATTATCAAAATTAGACTGTTAGTTATTAAAACTGCTTCTCTCTCACAGGAATTTTGCAGAAATTAAACACTTAAATCTCAAGCCTAAATTATGAGATGTGTGTGCAATGTTGGCAATAGGGCTCTTTCTCTTAATACACCAACTCCCATTCATTCATTTCACTAGTTAAACATTTTATACAAACATACTGTAAGGAAACTATTACCCATCTTTACAAGTCCAAATTACTAGCTGAAATTGTGAAACATCATTTCCGAGAGGAAAGAGAAGCACCAATTCAATCCTTTCTCTTAAGGACAGCATTGCAGGTAATCGCTGTCCACCTTTCAGATTCAGTATGATGCGTATTAATAAAAAATACAAGTATATAGTTCTATGAAAAAAAAAAAAGTGATATGATACAAAGTGATAAATGACCTAGGAATGCTTCTACCATTCTTCAACAATAACCACAACAAAACTTACTATCTTCAAGCCAAGTATCAAATAAAAGCACAATTAGCTCACCAGGAATTTTTTGTCAGTTCATTGTGAGAGGCCTTTGCTAGAAAAGAAGTGCAGTAATTGCATACTTAGAAAGTAATGCAAAAATCTATTTTTCTTTCTTATTTAAGAGAATCTTATGCTTCATTTCTCTGAGTTTGCCTGTAATCTGGACCTCTTTGTTAACTCTTACACATAAGGTATTTAATTAAATTTAGATTTCTGAATGAATCCTTAGGAGAATAAGTGGTGCAAGTGACAATTAACTTGGTATTTGTTAATTTCGTATCCAGTTCATTAACACAAGTTGTAATTACTGAACAATCTTTTCAATTTCAGAAAGTCTCTTCTAATAAGTCTTTCACATTCAGAATCCTAATATCAGAACTTTATTTCTTGCTCATTTTAAAAAACTGCTTTGAAAATAGTATAGGCAAAGACATTAAAATACCCAGGTTTTCATACAAAATAGTCAAGCACCTGTTAGAACCTATGTAGCTGAGTACTCCATCTTTTGCGTAGGTCTCTCAGAAGTTGGTAATAACGACCTATGCTATGATAGATCAAATCATAGCTT